ATAAAAAAAGCATGCAAAACTCAAATTTTACAAACTTTTTTTTCTCAAATAATATTTGTAATTAGTTTGTAAATATGAATCTATAAAAAAAATGTTTATAAACAACAGTTTGAAAAAATGGATACTATTAAAATCTAAAGTAAGCAAGTTATTAAAATAAATGATCAAATTTAATCTTAGAATTATCAAGAATCACCAAGTTAATCATATTTACAAAAAAAAAATTATTAATTTTTGAAAATTAACTATTTTTTTTATAAAAACTAGTGAAATTTTAAAATACTCCAACTTCGGTCATTCACAGATAAACAACGAAGGAGACAGTTAGCACATATATTGTGAAATGTTGATAAGTTTTGCAAATGTAAATTTAACTGGTAACTTTACCTGTAAATTACCAGTAAATTTTTGACATTTTTGTAATAAATACACACGGTATTTTATTTGAATAAAGTTTGTTCATAATTTCAAAATTAACTGACTGTTCTTTGAGTTCTAAAAAATATCAAGCTTGTGACAGTTTTTTGGAGATAAAATTACAGCTCAACAACAATTATGGATGCGTTGCGAATCCTGTGACGATTGGTTGTGTGGATCTTGCTGTTCTACTATGGTCAACAATATGTGCAAGAATTGCCAATAAACATACAAAGCTCATTTAAAGCAAAGTAGTGTTTTTTTGTTAGTTGAAAAAACCTTTTTAAATTAATTGAAAAATATATTTTTTACCAGTGATATAGCAAATGTGATAATGGCTAAAGTAATAAAATAGTTGACTAATTACAATAAAAAATGATAATTGCTACTACTTATATTTATAAAGACCTTTTTTTATGTGCTCCTTTTTGTTTTCTTTGGTGCCCCTAAAGACTTTTTTTGAACCCAGGGGCGATGCCCTCCTTATTTACTTGTATTACCTGAATTTATATCATAATTTTAAAACAACATTAAAAAATAACAGTAAAACAACATTTAAAAATTAGTTTTCATTATTTATGACATTAAGTTGGTGATACGTTATTAGGATTTATTTAGTGGCTGAACTTATGAGATGGTATTGAAAGTTCGGTCAAAGTAAATGTTTTCATTTGAAATTAAATACAAGTACTAGTTTTTATTTTTTTAATTTTACAATATCAAGAAAAAAAAATTGAAAATATTTTATTTATGCATGATAAATGTTCAAAGCTTAAATGACCAAACTTAGAGGATTTTACAATGATGAATAATCAAAAATTAAAAAAGTTTTTGATTAGTGAAATAAAAATGTTTTTTGATTGGTGAGATAAAAGTTTGAAATAAGAATGTAAGTTTTCTGTGACTTAAATTATTAGTCTCAAAACAATGTTTTCTGTGGGAAAACATTGTTTTGAGACTAATAATTTAAGCAGAATAGAATAGTTTTTATTTTAAAAATTTTAATTATAAATTATTTTTAAAAATAGAAAATAATAATAGTAACAGATAAATATAATATATATTTTAATCAAAAATTTCTCCTCAATTCACAAAAAATTATGCTCAAAAGCTATGAGTAGAAGTGAAAAAGTTAAGAGTTAAACACCCAAGTTTACAAGGGTTAAATTAAGCGATCACAAACTGCAGTATCTTGAAAAATATCTAGTCTTCAAAATTTTAGTTTAACACAACTGTGCACTTTTGTTTTTATGGAGCAAATCGATATAAATTTGTTATCAAAAAAAAAACTAAAAAAAAATGACAAAACAACGAACTTACAATTACAAAAGTAAAAATACTACAGGAACTGTTACTTTTATAACACACTTATAACTTACATTTATAATTTGTTGTTTGTTTAAACAATAATTATAGGTATCATCAATAAAAAATGATTAAAATTTAAAGCCAATCTTAAATTTTAATTAAAGTACAAATGCATCTAGAAAAAAAAAAAGAATGGGTATTTAAATAATATTAAAAACTTTTTTTTTCTTTTTTTTTTTTAAACTCCACAATCTCCATTTCCAACAAGGTTGCAAGCAAATACTATTAGAGTTTGAAGTTACTTCTTGACTCTACTAATAGATTTTTGCTTTGGTAGTGGCTGTGCAACTTTTCCTGTTATCTCCTAATGAAGGTACAGCTTTAAAACTCAGTTTAACGGTTCTGAGGCCGGTTGTTAGTAAGGTTTCCCAAACTTAGTAGCAGTTCTTAGAGATGCTGATTTCATCAACAAATTCAGACAACAAGAAAACATTAAAAATGTAATTCTCTTGAACAAATTCATAGTTTATCAGTTACTAATAATATATTTATTTACTTTTATTGTTTTATCTGAAATATGTTCAATTGTTTGGCACAGTTGCTTCTATTTATTAGCCCTAGCCTTTATTCATTTCATATGGTTTTCTATTTTTATTTTTGTTTAATTAGTTTTAAATTTAAAAAAAATTTAATTCATAAAATATGTTTTAAGGATTTAAAATACTTTTTTTCAGTAAAAAAACAAAACAAAAAAATATTTTCAAGGCCCTTAAAGTAAGACATATTTAGTCATTTTGAAATCGTTTTTATCCTAGCTATATGTTTTGAGATTATAAATAGACTGTCTAAAATTATAATGACTCATGGATTTTTAAAATACTTTTTCTTTCTGTCCTTTTAAAAACTCTTTGCCTTCTAGAATCGTCATAATTTTGAGGGCATCAGCATGCACCACATTGAACAGGTCGTTTAGAGTTAAAATGAAATTATTTTCTTGGGTCTTCTGCGTCAGTGTCTGACACCCCTTATTATTTTTTATAAGGCGCCACAATTCTAAGATATTTTTATTTTATTTTAAATATTTTAAATCTACTATAGCATATTTATATGCGCAATTGCTCACTTTTTTTGCTAGCCTAAATTAAGTGAGCGTTTTTAGAAAACGTTGAGGGAAAATGAAGAATAATGAATGAAAAGGTTGCTGACCCATACCAAACCCTCAGTCGATGTAGCAACACTCCACTGAGAGTCAGGCTATTTGTCAGTCGATGTATGTACTGAAGCCCCTGGCAGCAGGCTATTTGACGTTAGGTGAATATGACATCATCATGGTCACCTAACTCAGCAGTATAAGATATATATATATATATATATATATATATATATATATATATATATATATATATATATATATATATCTTATACTGCTGAGTTAGGTGACCATGATGATGTCATACTCACCTAACTATATATATATATATATATATATATATATATATATATATATATATATATATATATATATATATATATATATATATATATATATATATATATATATATATATATATATATATATATATATATATATATATATATATATATATATATATATATATATATAATAGGGTGGGTCATAAAATTTTTTTTTAGAGTTGCTAACCTGGCTATGGTCTAGAAAGTTGTTTTTTTATGTACTAATTTAGGAAAGTATTTACTTTTATGGATTGAACAATGTCTTCCACCCGCAACTATAATTACAAAAATTAGCAGGCCCTATTATTATTCAAAAAAAAAGTTTTTTAAAATTATGTGATGTATGCACTCAAATAAAGCGAAATTTTATAAAAATTTCAAAAATAATAATTTTTTCATATAAAAATTATTTTTTTTTTATTGCATAATAACTATAGTTTTTTAACTAAAAGTTAAAAAGGTGCATTTTTACATGTTTTTTAATTACAATTTTTTTCGGCAATATGATTTTTATAAAACAATTATTATTTTCGAATTTTTTATAAAATTTCGCTTCTTTTGAGTACCAGGTTGACCTACTTTTCAAAAACTTTTTTTTTCTCCAAAATATTAGGGTACCAGTAATTTTCCCAATAAAGTTGCGCCCTTTAAATCTATCACAATCATTCTCATATTTGATAGTATCAATATTAATAACTATTAGCAATATATATATATATATATATATATATATATATATATATATATATATATATATATATATATATATATATATAATTTTTTTAATTCTTTTGTAACAGACAATTTCATGTGAGTTATTGTTTTAAATATTCTTAATTTATTTTGACCTTAATTGCATAAAAAGGTTGAATCTTCCTTATGCAATTCATGGTCATTTTTTCTTAAATATCGTAACAAAAAAGTGATTTTAATTATAAATTAAATTAATCCTGCTTCTCTTCGAAACATGTAACCAAATATAAAGGTTTTTTCTGAAACATGCAACCAGATATAAAACTGTGTGTGACATAGAAACTGACATTTATTAGCATAGTAAAGATTAAAGATTTAAAAGCAGCCCATAATAAGATTAGGGTTGGAACTTATGCACATATGGGCGAATATATGCGCATACCATTCAAAAGTTATGCACATAATTATGCCCATAATATGCCTATTATGCGCATACAAATTTAACAGATGAATAGTATGTTGAATTAATTAAATATTGTCAAATATAAAAGAAAGTGTTTTTTAAATCAAAAGCAAGTGACTTTTATTTAAAAGAAATAATTTTCATTTGATTTTCTGTAATTAATTTTTTTAGTAAATATTTCAAATTATTTTCATGATTTTTAAACAAATTTCTAAACCACAAAACTTAACAGTTTAATTTATTTTACTATAATTTCTTCACACTCAAACTTGCTGAGAACTGCTCCTTCCTCTAAAATGTAGTCATTTTTGTTGTTTGTATCTAACAAAACTAAAAAGTACAAACGTTTCAGATGAGTCAGAAACGTTTGTACTTGTTCCAAGTACAAACGTTTCTGACTCATCTTGGGCAGATATTAATTAAAAAGTCATAAAAAAGAATAACTTTTCAGATCATATTTTGTATTCTTATAAACATGCAGCAGCTGTGTTTCAAAGTTTGACATTTATTTACATAATTACATATTTGTTTACATAAAGTTTAGGCTAATCTACAATTTTAAAAGTTTTTTTTTGTTGTTAAAAAATGGAAAATGATGAGTGTAAAAGAAGTAAACTTTCATTCCCAGGACAACAGAATGTAAACAGGTGTGTACTGCCTATTCATTTTTTAGGCATGTAGAGACCACTTCAAAAAAAAAGCTGGACTAATCGCTATCGTTTTTAAAAAAACACAGGACTGTTAAAGAGTTAATATGAATCAATTGTTGTTGTTAAAAAACAACTTTGAAACTAAAAAATCACGAATTTTTAAATTTGCTATATACTTACATAAAGTTTAATTGCTATGTTCTTTAAAATGTTGTCTAAAGCTAAGCTCTTAAAAATCAATACTTTTATAAGCAATTAATTATTACCCCTTTCATAACAGAAAGCAAAAAATCCAAATAAATTTTTTTTGACCTCAGTACAGCATTCTTGTGCTGACCTAAAATCCTTTGAAATTTGCAAGCTACTTAAATGATTCTTAAATGACTCATAGAGAATTCTTGACTAATTTTGAACCTGAATTAAATTTTATATAATATTTGTCTGAATTATTTGAAATATTATGTTATTCTTTGTACAAATAGATAAATAATTATTTATGTTAGTTATTTAAAATATAAAATGTTAATTATAAAATTGTAGTTCTGTCAGAGAAATTTACTTTAGTTTTTATTTAGGTTACAGTTTCTTTATATGGAAAAAAGGTTTTTCCTGCATCTCGTATCTCTGTTTGCCCTCTTGAAAAAAATGACTGGGAGATAATGGTAAAAACATTTTTCAATAAAAAATAAAAATTATTATTATTTTTATTTTTTATTATTTGTTATTTTTTTATTTTCTAGCTGTACTCTGGCTTTATTTCTGTCTAATAATTTTAATGTCTGACTATAACACTGTAGTATATTCTGATATAATAATAGTAATAATAATAATAATAGCAATAATAATAATAATAGTTATAATAGTAATAATAATATAATTCTGATATAATAATAATAGTAATAGTAATAATAATAATAATAATATAATTCTGATATAATATTTCTGTTATAATAATTCTGATATAATAATTCTGATATAATAATAGCATGGTAATAAAAGTAAAGTGTGAAATTTTTAAACTTCTTTTTTTAAGAAAAAAACTAAAATAAATTATAAATGTGAATATAAAAAATATTAAAAAAAAAAGATACTTGTAGTCAAGTTTAGAGTTCTTTTTGACATCTTCACATCCGGGACTTTTCGACATCTTCACATTCGGGACTTTTCGACATCTTCACATCCGGGACTTTTCGACATCTTCACATTCAGGACTTTAAATTATATCATGTTAAAGTTTTTTGAGTGGTTCAAGTATTTTATTTAAGGAAACTCTCAAAGATTATTATATGTCGATTTAAGTCATGATATTTATCTAAGTGTTAAAGAATTATTCTATATTTTGTATATATTTGCAGAAATGGTTTAAATAATGCAAATTATTTGCAAATGATTTAAAAAATTACTTTAGTTGAGGTTTGAATGAATTTTACATTAAGTATGGATGATAAAATTGTTAAAAGAGTTACTTGTAAACTTAAATAAATTTATCAACTATTCATTTAAAAGATGTAATAAATGTAAAAGACAACATGAGTATGTAGCTTCTAATGCAGCAAAAAAAGAAAGCAACAGTAATATTGATGAATACTTTGATAACAAAATGGTAAAACTACTATATATGACATTCATCAGATCTTTTTTGAAATTTCCTGTTGATTTCTCTTGACATGAATAAATAAAAAAAAAATCTTACAATTAAAACAAAAAAAGCCGTGAAATTGAGCTTAAGTTAACTTTTGCTCATTGATTAAAAGCATTAGATTTCATGAATTATAATTATGTTGAAGTTATTTAATAATAAATAACTTCTAGAAAGATAATTATGTTGAAGTTATTTAATCATAAATAACTTCTAAAAAAATGTTGACATTTTTTAATCATAAATTGTTATTTAATCCAATGTAAAATACTAGCAATTTTTAAATACATTTAGGCATACACTCAAGTTCAGTAAAGAAAATTGTCTTTAAAGACCTCTAGGCATAAAGTACTTTAATTTATTGGAATCAATAGCTAAACAATCACATTAAAGGTAAAAAAAAGTTTGTAAAATACAACCCAAAATAAAAGATTATTACATTTAAATTGTTTTTATACAATAAAATGTAAAAATAGTTGTAACTGATATATTTTTAAAACATATTTATTATAACTTTAATTGCATAAAATGCATAATTGCATAATAAATTATTAACAAAGATAAGTTTATATGGTTTAAAGGATCTTTGTTTGAGGTTTAACTGTAACCAAGCATATCTAAAAATTTAAAGCAATTATCTCTTTAATAAGTTGTTCTTTAATAAGTTGTTTCTTTATTAAGTTATTCTTTATTAAATTGGTTTTTATTAAGTTAATCTTTATTAAATTGTTCTTTAATAAGTTGTTTTTTAATAAGTTGTTGTTTAATGAGTTGTTCTTTAATAAGTTGTTGTTTAATGAGTTATTCTTTAATAAGTTGTTCTTTAATAAGTTGTTCTTTAATAAGTTGTTCTTTAATAAGTTGTTGTTTAATGAGTTGTTCTTTAATAAGTTGTTCTTTAATAAGTTGTTCTTTAATAAGTTGTTCTTTAATAAGTTGTTTTTTAATTAGTTGTTCTTTAATAAGTTGTTCTTTAATAAGTTGTTCTTTAATAAGTTGTTGTTTAATGAGTTGTTCTTTAATAAGTTGTTGTTTAATGAGTTATTCTTTAATAAGTTGTTCTTTAATAAGTTGTTCTTTAATAAGTTGTTGTTTAATGAGTTGTTCTTTAATAAGTTGTTCTTTAATAAGTTGTTCTTTAATAAGTTGTTGTTTAATAAGTTGTTGTTTAATGAGTTGTTCTTTAATAAGTTGTTCTTTAATAAGTTGTTCTTTAATAAGTTGTTCTTTAATAAGTTGTTCTTTAATAAGTTGTTCTTTAATAAGTTGTTGTTTAATAAGTTGTTTTTTAATAAGTTGTTGTTTAATGAGTTGTTCTTTAATAAGTTGTTCTTTAATAAGTTGTTGTTTAATGAGTTGTTCTTTAATAAGTTGTTGTTTAATGAGCTGTTCTTTATTAAGTTGTTCTTTAACAAGTTGTTCTTTAATAAGTTGTTGTTTAATGAGTTGTTCTTTAATAACTTGTTGTTTAATGAGTTGTTCTTTAATAAGTTGTTCTTTAATAAGTTGTTGTTTAATAAGTTGTTCTTTAATAAGTTGTTCTTTAATAAGTTGTTGTTTAATGAGTTGTTCTTTAATGAGTTGTTCTTTAATAAGTTGTTCTTTAATAAGTTGTTGTTTAATGAGTTGTTCTTTAATAAGTTGTTCTTTAATAAGTTGTTGTTTAATGAGTTGTTCTTTAATAAGTTGTTGTTTAATAAGTTGTTCTTTAATAAGTTGTTGTTTAATGAGTTGTTCTTTAATAAGTTGTTCTTTAATAAGTTGTTGTTTAATGAGTTGTTCTTTAATGAGTTGTTCTTTAATAAGTTGTTCTTTAATAAGTTGTTGTTTAATGAGTTGTTCTTTAATAAGTTGTTCTTTAATAAGTTGTTGTTTAATGAGTTGTTCTTTAATAAGTTGTTGTTTAATAAGTTGTTCTTTAATAAGTTGTTGTTTAATGAGTTGTTCTTTAATAAGTTGTTCTTTAATAAGTTGTTGTTTAATGAGTTGTTCTTTAATAAGTTGTTGTTTAATGAGTTGTTCTTTATTAAGTTGTTCTTTAACAAGTTGTTCTTTAATAAGTTGTTGTTTAATGAGTTGTTCTTTAATAACTTGTTGTTTAATGAGTTGTTCTTTAATAAGTTGTTCTTTAATAAGTTGTTGTTTAATGAGTTGTTCTTTAATAAGTTGTTGTTTAATAAGTTGTTCTTTAATAATTTGTTGTTTAATGAGTTGTTCTTTAATAAATTGTTGTTTAATGAGTTGTTCTTTAATAAGTTGTTCTTTATCAAGTTGTTTTTTAATAATAGTTTATGTTTTGACTACTATTACTTATTTTTTGAATAAATGTATTGATCATTTCATCTATTTTGATTGTTGTAAACATACTTATTTTTTATCTATCTTTAAAATGTCAGGTATTGTAGGTACACTTTTTTTGTGTATTTGTTGTGTCAAGTCAGGCATATGGTCATCATGGTTACCCTGCTACCTGTAAATATAATCCGGTGTAACCTGTTCCATGTCTTGCTGCCTTGTAGGATTCACTTTCTAAGCAAATGCCATTAGAAATGAACATCTTGTCATCAATACTATCTAATATCTCTCATGCCTATACTGATATTTTTTTTTTGTCTTCTATATAGTTGGAGGTGTCTTAGTTACTGTGTTAGCTCACCTGTAAATTACTATATATGTATGTTTGTGTTCTATCTAAATCTCTGGCGCAGTATTCACTCACCCGTAAGTTGTAGTTTTTATGTTAGTGTTCTGTCTGAACCTCTACCGCAGTGTTAACTCACCCATAAGTTGTAGTTTGTATGTTAGTGTTCTGTCTGAACCTCTAGCGCAGTGTTCACTCACCCAAGAGTTGTAGTTTGTATGTTAGTGTTCTATTTGAATTTCTGGCACAGTGTTCATTTACATGTAAGTTACTTTATTTATGATGCAGTGATGAGCTCAGTTACCAGCTAGTGAGTCCAACTATAAAACTTATACTCATCTTAATTTCTAGTATTTTTTTAGATGTAATGTTTTTCCTAATGCATTTCCAAAATATCATGCCCAATGTTTTAAGGGACTGTTAGCTCCTTTTAATTACTCCAGGTCAGGTCTGAACCTGATCTGGAGTAATTAAAAGGAGCTAACTAAGCATCATCACAATCACCCTGCTACTGATATTATGTAACCCACTACTACCTGTCCCATGCCCTGCTGCCTTGTAGAGTGTGCTTTTTTAGGTAAAGGCTGGTAGAAACAAACTCCCCCTTAAAAATAACTTTAAGCCTTTTGGTTGACTAAAGGCTAGAGACAGTGTCTCAATAAAAATACTCATCTTGGGCAGATGTTAAATGCATCCAGCTATTATCTTGTAGGAGGCATTTTAGGCATAGACTTTAGGGGTTAGCAGAATTGTTCTGCTAACCAGTCTCGAACCCCTTCTTCATCTATTAGGTTGGCAGAGATATAAACCATTGTTACATTGTTTCCTGCCTAGGATGCCTAGATTAATGCTGGATCTTCTTGGCTCTTCTCATAGGTTTTTGCTTGCGCCTCTTATATAGCGGCCATGCTACTCTTCCTATTATCTCCTAATGTGGGTACAGCTCTAATATTCAGTTTAATGGTTTTGAGGCTAGCTGGTAGTAAGGTTTCCTGAACTCTGTGGTAGTTCTCAGAGCGGTAGATCCAATCAACAGCTGCAAAATACCAGAGTATTAACAGTGCTATGTTGCACACGGATGGTGTTCCTGTTAATGCTTTTGGTGTGCATAATCGAGGCCACATAAGGAGCCCTACGTTACAACTTAGGGTTAATTAACAGGACTGAGAAAGTTGCATAGCTGATTGCTTAGGAGTCTGTGCTCTATCTATGAATGATTCAAGTTCTCTTTAAACTTGAATCATGTCAAAAGTAACCCAAATTATTAAACATTAAAAACGATCCCCAACACCTAACTGTTTTAGTATATCTTTTTCCTAATATTCGTGGCCTGAGAAGCAACCTTCCATCAGTTGAATCATAACTCTAGCAAAATTCACTAGACTTGCTTGCTCTTAGTGAGACTAATTTAAACTCTGCTATTCCTTCTTCTGACCTCAGTGTTGATGGGTACTATCCTTTGATTCACAAAGACTCCAATAGTCACATGCTTGGCTTAAGGATATACATACACATCAATTCACCTAATTGTCGTGAAATCTGGTTTCTCTTTGTTTCTTTATTGTTTTTTTTCTTTTCTAGATGCACTCTTATAGATGTAATTTCTCATCAAATTGACTATGCCCTCTCTCTTTACCCACCTGCCAATATTGTTGTTATTGGTCACTTTAATGCATCATACTGAATGGCTTGGCTCTATTGCCACTGACCCTACTGGCATTAAAACCTATTACTTCTGCATTTCTCAATCTCTTACACAAGTAGTTAACTTTGTGCCTCATTTTCCTGACAACCCTAATTGTTTACTATCCTAAAGCTGTCCTTGGTCTTTTCTCTCTCGGCTGAAAAATGTGCCTCCAAAGAATTTTTCTTCTAATATGATTATTGAATCTTATAGTCATTCTCTTCCTTCCATTCCAATTAAACAGGTTAACCAATTGTTAGATATTCAAATCACTCCAGCTTGGGTTGCTAAAGCCATATCTTGTTTAAACTTTTTTACAGCTTGTGGTCCAGACAATATTCCTGTCATAGTCTTACAAAATCGTTCTCTAGAACTCTCTCAAAACTATTTAATAAGTGCTTGACTGAGTCTTGTTTTCCTGCCTGTTGGGTAAATGGCACTTGTTTCTCCAATTTTCAAAAACTAGAGAGAATATTCTGACCCCTCCAATTATCTTGCGATCAGTCTTTCTGTTTTTAGAAAGGTCTTTGAGTCTTTGATAAACAAATTTTTCACACTCCATCTTGAGTCAAATAACTTACTGTCAGACTATCAATACAGTTTTCGATCCTCTCGCTCCACGATTGACTTGATAACTGCTGTGACTGAAAGATTTTATTGTTCATTAGATGGAGTTGGAAAGGCTAGGGCTATTGTTCTTGACATATATAAGGCTTTTGACAAAGTTTGTCATGCTGGTCCTCTCCATAAGTTTGTTTCATATGGTGTATCTGGGAAAGTTTTTGAGATTATCAAATTTCTTTCTAACCGCTTTATTAAAGTCATCCTCAAAACCCAACACTCTTCTTCATTTCCAGTAACTTCTCAAGTTTCTATCCTTGGTCCTTTTTTGTTTCTTATTTACATTAATAATCTTCCTGACAACATTACATCTAAAGTAGCTCTTTTTGCTGATGACTCAACTTTTACTCCTGTCTTGACAAAACTTCTTTTTTGATCACTTAAAACAGATAGCTGATCTTGAATCAGATCTCACTTCTGTAATAGATTGGGGTTTGCATTGGTATGTAAATTTTAACACAAAACAAAACTCAATTATTTGCTGCAAACAACTATCATAGTAATACTGTTGACATTCCTCTATTTATGAATGGCTACTCACTGAGTCCTCTTCCAAAACCAATCAATTCTCCTCTTCCAAAACCAATCAATCTCACTCTTGATTCTATTCTCTAACTTTACAAATCTCTTATTCGTCCCTTTTTGGAATGCTGTTGTCATCTTTTAGGTTATATCCAAAATGGCTTTATCTGCTAAGCTTGAGCCTCTCTTCCTTCTTCATAAAGTTGCATCTCTTTCTCTTTACTACAAATACTTTTATGGTTGCTGCTCAAAGAAGCTATCATCTCAATTTCCATTAACCAAAACTCATTCTCACTTGACTCACCATTTAGCATAAGTCACGTCCTTTTACTGCATCTGTCTCTGCATGCTTTAAAAACTTTTATTTGTGTAGTTTTTTTCCACGCACTTCAATCTTTTGGAACATACAACCTTCAATTTTTCAATTCTTCTGTCAACCATTTATTTGCTCTTTAACTTTAATTTAAAATATTTTTGAAAAAAATATCTCTATGAATTGTTGTTTATGTACTCACTTTGACTTATTTAATCAATTACTTCTTTATTATTCAAAATTAATAAACCACAATTTAAAAAAAAATAGAGACTGCATATAGTCTTTATATTTTTTTATTATTTTAGAATACAATTATTTTCTGAATTTTTTTAATAAGATTTAAAAGTATATAACTTTTTTTAGGAGTTGAATCATGCGTATATTGAAACTGAATTGTTAAATCAAATTTCTTTGGTCAAATCAGGAATGGTATTCCTTGTTTATCTATCTACTCAAAATTATTTCCCTGTTAAAGTTGGTATTAAAGTTGTTAACTTTAGTTACTTTTTATTATTGTTGTTGTTATACTACAACTACTACTACTACTACTACTACTACTACTACTACTACTACTACTACTACTACTACTACTACTACTACTACTACTGCTAGTACTACTAATACTACTACTACTACTACTACTGCTACTACTACTGCTGCTGCTGCTACTGTTACTACTGCTACTACTACTACAACTACTACTACTACTGCTGCTGCTGCTACTGTTACTACTACTACTACTACTACTACTACTACTACTACTGCTAATGCTAATGCTACTACTACTACTGCTTCTACTGCTGCTGTTACTGTTACTACTACTACTACTACTACTACTACTACTACTACTACTACTACTACTACTACTACTACTGCTACTACTACTACTACTACTACTGCTAATGCTACTACTACTGCTACTACTACTATTGCTACTGCTACTGCTGCTGCTACTGTTACTACTACTACTACTGCTACTACTGCTGCTACTGTTACTACTACTACTACTACTACTACTACTGCTACTACTACTACTACTGCTGCTGCTGCTGTTACTACTACTACTACTACTACTACTACTACTACTACTACTACTACTACTACTACTAAATAATGAATTATTGTTATTGTTGGACCATCATCAGACCAACTGATATTGCCCTTCTAAAAAATTAACTATTGTTATTGTTTTTGTTATTATTATTTTTATTATTATTATTATCATTATTAGCTCATTATAATTGTTAGTAAAATAAATATTAAAAACATATGGGCTTACACCATTAATGTTGTCACCTTGGGAAAATTCTTATCTTTTTTTATCTCTATAAATTACTATTGGCTTTTGTCTTTAATAAATGTTTTTCAGGCCACATTTTAGTTATCATTCTCATTTTATACTATAGTTATTCTATCAGATAATCCATTTTTTTATTGTGAAACATTTGTATATGCAACATTTACAACCATCTCACACCTAATCTTTGTATAAAATTAATTTATTTTTATGTTTTTTAAAATAATTTTAACAAAAAAGCTTTTTTAATTTCAATTCAATTTGAATATTTCATTTTTTTTTTTTTAATTATTTTTTTTCTAAATTCCCTGGTCAGTTTAGCTTTAGAATCATCATGATCACTCTAGTACTGGTAATATGTAATCCAGTACTACCAGTCCTTTGCCCCTGCTATCTTGTAGGATTCGCATTTCTAGACAATGGCTTACAAATATTAACTCCAATTTTAAAATTCCCCTGCATTGGGGCTCTTGGTTTCATAAGAGCTACAGATGGTGTCTCAATAAAAATACTCATCTTGTCAGATTTTAACTGCATCCAGCTATTGCCTTGCATAAGACTGATTAGGCAAAGGCTTGAGGGGTAAGCAGAATAATTCTGTTGATCAGTAATGTGCATAAATGGTATTCCTATTAATGCATTTGGTGTGCATTGTGGAGGATACATAAGGAGCCCTATCTTGGGACTTTGGGTTGATTAGCAAGACTGAGGCATTTGCATAGCTCATAGCTCGGGACCGTGCTCTATGATTGAGACAAGTTCTCTTAAATCATGACCAAAGAAAAAATATTGATCAAAGTATCTAATAGTATTTTTATATACATATTGTTATATATAGTATTTTATATACATAATTAATGATTGAATTTAAAAAAAAAGCTGTTAGATGTTATTAAATATTCAAATATATTTAGTATATTTTAAAGCTAATTCTTCATTTCAATTTAGAGGTTACTGATCCATTAGATTGCACAGTTTATCTTCAAGAGAACACTGAAGTGCACTTGTTGTTTCATGATTTTAATATTCCACCTGTTAACACAAAACATGTCTGCAAAACTGACTTAACTGAATGTCAGCCAACAAATTTATCAGATAAGTTATTTATTAACTATTTTATAAATTTTTTTGGTCTTGAAAAATATTACAAATTGAAAAAATCTGATTTAACTTATTCAAAATGTCTTAAGCCTTTCTCATATTGCAATCATGTTTCTGCAGAAGTTTGTCTTCAAGCTATTGTATCATTACCCCTTGTAATTGACTGTAATTATGTCAGAACAAATGAGTCATGTCTTGAGAAAAGTCAGTTTCCTTTATATACAGCTTTAGCAAGTGAGAGCATTTTTTTCTTTAAATCTTCATGTATAGTGAAAGATATAGATTTTTTAATTCAGTTATCATTGAAAGAATCAAATAGTTCAAAAGAACAAATTAAAATTGTTTTAAAAGTTAAGTTTCTGCCGAAGCAAATATGGAATACCTTATTTCAAAATACAAACAAAATTGTTTTGTTTGTTCATCCTATACTGTTGCAACAACTTCAGATAGAAAGTGGATCCTTTGTACAGATTAATTGTTATCATGACAGTATAATGCATCCAAAAGGGTTTGTTTTACATATTACTCCTTTAGCATCTGACATTAAAGAAAAACTTAAAGACTGTTTTCTTACCTATTTGACAGAGTCTGCTGCATTTGAATCCATTGTAATGAATCAAGGTACACTTCTTATTTTTAATATAGGTGATTGCATTCAAGTTGTTGTTGAAGTTATTGGTATTTTAAACAATGTCTTCTGTTTAATTCATTGCAATAGTTTTAACACACTGTTTATTGCTGTTGATGATAATGAAAAGGACTTTTCCTCCCATAATTATGATAAGAAATTGCTTTCCAATGATGAAGTCTCTAATGGGATTATGAAAGAGCTTCAAGCCTGTTTTAATATCAGTGATAATGAATGTTCTAAGAAAGATGATTCATTGTGCTCTACTAATCAGGTTGTCTTACTTTATGGAAATGGAGAATCAACTTCAACTGGATGCGGAAAATCATATCTTTTAAATTTGATTGCAAGCTCTTTTTTAAAAATACCGTTTTGCTATCGAACTGTTTTTGTAGATAACATTTCATTACGTGGAAAGAAAGTTGATTCCATTCGTGATTTTTGGGAAAAGGCTTATATTCGTGCAGTTCAAAGTCAACCAGCTTTACTAGTCTTTGATGATCTCAATGAAATAATACCTACTGTTGACTTAGTGGAAGAAGGTATTGCAGCAGATTTACGAATTCAGCGCTTAGCAGAAATATTTCAAGTCATTATAGAGAGAATCGCTTTTGAACAAAAAAAAATTTTTGTTATTGCAACATGTTCATCTGTTAATGACCTTCACAGAAATTTGCTTCCAGAAACAAATAACCACTTGTTTTCAAAATATATAAATATTCAAGAGCAAAGTAGTTCAGAATATAGTTGTTTTAAAAGTGTTCTGCAAAACATTGCCAAAACAATGAACTGTGAAATTCATCTTGACTTTTCAGACCCCTATATTCTAAATTTAAAACAAAAATTAAATGGTAGCAACCCTAAAGATTATTCTATTCTTTGTAAACGCATTATTTACAATAAGTTGTTAGAAATTAAAAGTGACAAAAGAAAGTTTGTTCTAGAATCTAAAGATGTTGAAGTTTGTCTTGAAAATTTCAAATCATGTTCTCTACATACTGTTGAACTTCACAAACCTAAAAAAGTATGCTGGTCAGATATTGGAGGTTTAGATTTTGTTAAAAAAACTTTAAAAGAAACTTTGGTATGGCCTGCTCTTTACCCTGATCTGTTTAAATCATGCCCTATTAAATTGACTTCAGGTTTACTATTGTATGGTCCACCTGGAACTGCAAAAACAATGTTAGCTAGTGCTGTGGCTTTTGAGTCTCAATTAAATTTTATAAGTGTAAAAGGTCCAGAGCTTTTAAGTAAGTATGTAGGTAGCAGTGAAAATAATGTCAGGGATGTTTTTGCTAGAGCACGACGTGCTTGTCCATGTATTATTTTCTTTGATGAAATTGATTCATTGGCTCCACGGAGGGGACATGATAATACAGGTGTAACTGACCGAGTTGTAAATCAGCTATTAACCCAACTTGATGGAATTGAAAGTTTTAAAGGGGTTTATGTTTTAGCTGCAACATCCAGACCTGACCTTATCGATCCTGCTCTGTTACGGCCAGGTCGGTTTGACAAAAGTTTGCACTGTACACTACCAAATTTAAATGAGCGCGAGGATATTCTTCGTATACATTTGCATCATATGAAGTTGCATGGTAATGTTGATATAAGTAAACTTGCTCGAATGACTGAACATTTTTCTGGTGCTGATTTAAAAGCCCTTCTGTATAATGCTCAAGTTAGAAGTATACACAGATACAATTTTCATGAGGTAATTATAAACTTTTACATTTACACAATCTAGTATTATTTCATTTTCACAGTCTAGTATTATTTCATTTGATTTCTAATGCAACGGATAGTCTAGTGCAACATATAGTCAGAAAGCATTTCATTATCAAGTTTCTATAGAAAAAAGTTTTTAGGTTTTTGTTGCAAAATGTTTAATAGGTTTAATGTTTATTTTTTAATATAGAATGATGCAACTGTTGTTGAAGATGACATAATAGAAGCCTTAAAATCAATGAAGCCTTCAGTTAATTCTGATGAACGTCAAAAGTTTCACAATATGTGTGTTTAGTTGTTTTTTACTTGTTTTTTTTTTGTTTATATTGATGTGAAATTTATATAAATATTTTATGCTAAAATTTTAAAATTGAAACTGATCTACGCAGCTTAAACTCTATCTACTGAAGTCCCTGCATTTTTTTTATTTTTATAGACAACCCTAATTTTTTAATGGGGCAACTTTAAACCACTGTCATTGTTGAGATATAGCGTGTTATGCTATATTATTTTTTCATTATACATATTTTAATAAAAATAAAGTATAATCATGTGTATAATTATTTCAAATTTATTGCTGAAAAAAAAGAACTAAAAAAGGGTACTTATATTAAGAAATCAAGAAATTTATTTATAAATTTCATAGTTATAGATTTTTATAACTAGTTTCAACCATTACAATGAATATTGATGATACAATATCATCAAGAATAAGAAAAAAAGAAATGGATTAAAGTTTTCTAAGTGCATATAATATTAGGAATTGATATTCTTTTATTATAGTTCTTTCTTTACAAGGTGGTCTTTTTTTACAAGAAACAAATAATAAAAACAAATTATCCAATTAAATGTTCAATGTTTACTCAAAGTTGATTTACAAGTGGATCCACTTCAATGCCTTCAATGCTAAAATTATTGTATTATTGCGACATTGGTATTAGTAACACATTTAAATATTGTATTATTGTAACATTTTGGATGATAGGAATATAGAAAGTTAAAGGATAAAAATAGATTTGTCACTGAATTGATTTGCAAAATTATTACAATGAAACTAAAAATTGCTTGTTAGAATGTAATGATAATGCCCATACTGACTGCTTGCGTAAAATGAAAAAGAAGAATCCAAAAAAAAAAAAACTATTGTTTTGTGTTTGTGTTTATGTTTGTGTTTCTTAGTAATAAAGTAAGTGTTCTTAGTAAGATTAATCAAAGATTTTTTCTTGGTCAACTTAAATTTCAGAATCATACAATAAGACAAAGGAAATATGGAAATAATTCCAACATAGCTTCAAGCATAAAATATGATTTATTTAAAAAATGTTATATGGAAAGAAGCTGCTTTAGGATTCCAGCATGGGTCAATACAGAGATATTTAAAGAAGATGTTACTTGTTGAGATGTTTCCAAGTTACTTATTGGTCACAATAATGTTGAATAAGGTTTTGATTTAATAAGTAATAAGTTAATGTTAAGAGAGCTCAAGAAAAAAATAGGCTGTCTTTTATTTTTAGACTATAATAAGACTAATTTTTTCTTGAGTTCTCTTAATTCTGATTTTCACAAATGGCTCTCTTAGAGTTATTTGAAAAAGTCAGAGGTTCTGGTGATAAAAAAAACTTCTTTTTTTGATTTCTTAACTTTTGATCTCTTAACTTTTGATCAGTATGTAAGGACAAGAATAACTCTAGAAATCAACCCTGATGCAACAACACTTATCAAACTGGGTTATTTCCTATGAGTCTTTTTTTTGTGCACAGAAGAATTAAACATAATGTTTTAGCCTGGGAGTGTTCCAAATTAGCTTTGTCATGGGCAGTCAATTAAAAAAAGAGTTCAACAGTGGATAGAAGCAGTAAGAAAATTTTATTCTTATGAAAAAAGGGATGTTTTTATATGAGGGAAAGATTTATCAAGAAAGCTAATGTCTATTAATCAACAATATCTACTTAATAACAGTGATTAAAGAAATGTATGTTAAAAAAGGAACAAAATTTTGATTTGCTAAAGGGATTGCCAAGTGCCAAGACAAATTTTGTTCATATTTTAAATAATCTATAAAAATTAAGTTTATAACTAATTACACTTTCTAAAACAAATTATTTATTGAGATATGAACAAAAAACTTATTATTTTTTCTTGAAGTTAAGTTCCAGCTCTTTGATATTTTTTCTAATTTTAATCAGATCAGTATTTAAAATCTTTGATTTTAAATACTGGTCTGATTAATGATAATTTCAACACTTAGTCATGGCCAGGCTGTTGTTGAGCGTGGTTTTAGCATAAACAACTCTTCTATTAAAACAAACATAAAACCTTCAAGTTTTATCTTTCGGAGAAGTGTAAAGGATCATTTAATTGCCAATGATTTAAAACTACACGTTTTTTAAGTTTTCTGATTTTGTGATTGATTGAGAAATTTTGCCATTTAGGTAAAAATTTCTCAACAAACACAAAAAAACACAAATCTGCACCCTATATCACCAAAATTTTTGAAACTTGGCACAAATGTTTATAGACATGTTAGGAAAGATAGTAATTTTTTTTTCAAAACAGCAATTTGAAGTTTCCTTGATTTTGACTAAAAACTGAGGGGGGAAAAGTGCCGAAAATCATTCCGTTTACTTTCACCTTAATATGGTGCTTGTAGTGATGCCACAATTCTGAAACTTTGTACCAAAAGAGTTTAAAACCTGTTAAATCCGAAAAATATAGTTTTTTATATGTCAAAACAAGGGAATGTAGCTTATTTTAAGATCCATATAATACACTTTATAACGCTGAGAAAAAAGGGCATTGACAATTATAGCATAAAAAAAATGACTGACTGATAATAAAAAAAATTTAATTTCGATTTTCTTAAAAATAAGATCAACACCTACTTTTCGAACCAATTTTGTTTTGGCCTTATATTTACTTGAGGAATTATTGATGTTTGATATAGACACAAAATTTTTTAATATTTTTTAAATTAGACACTTAATATAACCCCACCTTTTACCAATCAATCAAATTAGAAACTAAAAATTTAGTGGCTTTATTATCTTTTTCATTTTCGTATGATATTTACAACAAAATTTAAACGTATATAATTTTTTTTTTTTTAAATACTAAACTTTAGTGATTTTATATATACTTTTCATTCATAATATTTAAAAAAAGAATGGATAAGACATAATAGACTCAAAAATATAAAAATCTCTACTCCTTAAGAAAATAATTTTTTTTAAGTCCTCTTTGGCTAAATAGTAGCAAAGTCCTGTTTTTGTTATCGGTACCTCAACTTTGCAAATAATGTGGGCATCAGGAATCCAGCTTTGGCTTTCCTTTGGTGGTCATTTAAACAACCGTGCAGGACCATTAGGACACATAAATTTTACAAGCACATCTTTTTCTTCTAAATTAATATCTTCAATGACTCATATCCACCACTTTTGCTCATAGGAAACACAGGCATAATCACCTGGTACTAGGTTTACAGTTGTTATCTGGATATTTCCAAAGTCATGAATTAAAGCAAATTCTTCACGAAAACTGCATAGCTTAGTGCCTACCTAAACAAAATAGTAACATATGCAATTATTACGTTTTACTTATCAAACATGTTTTATTAAATGCATAGATAGTAAATGCAGAGGAAATAAAATAAAATACAAATATTTTTGATAATGATTCTGCAAAAATCTAATATCTATTTGAGTTTATCAATAAAAGTTATGTGTGTATTTTAAAATATGGTAAAAGGTATAATTAAAAAATAATAGTTTACCTTTTGATGGCTAAGTGGTACAAACTGATGGTAACTACGTGTTCCAGGTATTGTATTAGCAGTATCCAATTGTTATTTAAGAGCGGCTCTCGCCAAAGTTAAATGTTCTGATGAAATATATATGAAATTTATGCCTTCAATGTTTTCATTGCAAATTTATACATTGTTTGTGGAGATAAAATATGATTATCCATATCTCTTTGCAAACTTGCTAGTGTTGCCAGACGTTTGACTGTACCACCTATCCCATCACAAGGTTGCTTACCGTGACTAGTTGCAAAAAAGTTCCATTTAGCAGTAAAACCAAAATCTTCACAATGGAAACAAAGATTTAACATATTTTTGCAATTCTTATATAGACCTGCACACCCATCTGAAAAGTATTCAATATTTTTTATTTGAGGCAAATTTGTTTTTATATCATTGCAAACAACCTCAATAATTTTATAAACCATGTTCACATCATGGATCATATCATCCGAAATAATACAATAGGATTTGTGCTTGAGAATGCTTTCTTTTTTGAAATAAATAATCACTGGATGAAGTGTACATTGTAAGTTTGTCCAATGAAAGCTTTGTCCACTTCAACCTGAGCTACAAGTTTATAGTTTTCTGAAAAATCACCCAGAAATAATGCTGTTACCTCATTCATATCTTCCTTTCTTGGTTTCAGGTATAATGCTTGACTCTTTGCTAAATATGAATGTGGTGCAGGTTTTTCCAGTTTTCTACATACTAGTTCAATGTATTCAAACACTGGCTCTTTATTATGTGTCAAGTTTGACCTATCTGTTGTTGTCCATTGATCAAATTCAATCTCATCATCATCTTCAAATTTTCCAAGTATATCATTAAGTTTTTCAACCAATGCATTCATAGTTGCTGGGTATTTTTCACATTTCCTCATCATACAGTCTTTATTAGTTATATCACAGACAATATAAGATAACAATTCTTTGTATGTCACACCAAGAGGATGTAAAAGCAGTTTCAAATTCTGATGAATAGCACAGACGCATACAGAATGTGTTCCTGAGGCACCAACAGTAATACACCATTTAGGTCGCAAGGTGCAAAACCTTGAAAATCCTATTTTTATTTCTGGGTTTTTGGTTTTAAAGGCAACAAACAATTCCTTTAAATTACATAAGAGCAAACGTTTTTGCATGTGGACATTTTTCTTTATGCTTACATAGTCCTTTTTACTAGGCATTATACGGCTATGTTCATCATCTTCGTAAAAGGTCTTGACCAGTTGAACTGTTACATCAGGAAGAGCTTTTCCTAATTTAGGATTAGGCATGGTTAAAATACCTTTTTCTAATGTTAACTTACGTGCAGTTTGAGCTACATAGTTTGTTACATGCAATGTTTCAGATACCTTTTTTATTGACCAGTCTGTTGGAGCAAGTGTTGCAAGTTGTACTTTTTTTGATGTTGATGTAGACTCTGCAATTTTGTTAGTTAACAACACCATCATGTTATCAAACAAGTTTGCTTTTTCCATATACTCATTATTAAAACTTGACTGTTCTTCAAAACTTTCTTCTGATATATTAAGGGAAATGGCTACCTTTTTTTTAATGGAGGTTGTTAATGCTGTCAATTTTCGTTTATCTTCTCTGATTTTACCTGACTTGTGCAATCCTTTGACCTTAATTGGAGATACTCCGACAGATGCAAAGTGTGTATCTACACTTTCTTTTTTATTTTGAATGGATCATTCATTAACAATATCAAAATCTTCATTTTTATTTTCACTTTATCATAATCATAATCATAACTTTACTTCGACAGGTTGGACGCAGTTTTTTCCAGGTATAAGATTTAAACCTATGGTTTCTGCTTCTAACACAGTATGCATTGTAATCACACGTAGAGATGCTTAAAAAGAAAGTAATTACATTACTTAAACAACATTAATTATATATATTATGTAATTATATTACTATACAATTTGTTATATTAATAATTATGAAACATTGAACAAATCTTATTGCCAAAAAAATTTATATGACTTAATAATGATATTACCTAATGAAATATAAATGAAAAATATAAGGGAAAAACTTAAAAACTTAATAATGATATTACCTAATGAAATATAAATATATAAATTTTTACCTCTACACACCTTTTGGTGACTCAGAAATGGGTTACAGCAACTTTTCTGATTACCCTCATATCTTACAACTAGCATATCATGATGGTGTGTGCATATATTAGTAATTTGTTCTTGTTTCATATTTGTTTGTTTTTCAAGTAGCTTATGATCATTGCTATCAATATCTTCAATCAGATTTCTTTCTTGAGTATATGATTGTTTATAACAAGCTCCATAATTATTTACAAAGCAGCAATTAATTTTGTTATCCATATAAAAATATAATTAGGAATCTCTGTCTAAACACTTAATACAAAAAATCTTAAATAATCTTAATGTCCCTAACAAGAAAAGTACACTTGAACACAAACAATATCATATCAATATGTATTTATAAAGAACATATTGCTTGAACAAGTAGCTATTAGTTTAATAGACATATTTTAAATGCCTAACTATCTACTAATTATTGTAAATTCTCCATTAACTACTTACAAAAAGTTGTGTAAAAGTAAAAGATAACTAAATATAATTTTATTTAGTTATGTAATTTAACATGGTAATGTTAATTAGACATTATTATATCATTTTATTATTTTTTTTATTTATGATAATAAATGTTTTATTACAACAAAACAATCAACAACAAAAGTTACATAATATTGTTAAATTTAATGACATGATATGTAATGAAAATGACATTATTATTATGTAATGAAAGTAAAAAGAAACAATATTATAAAATGTTCAACTATGTTTTGTAATAACTTTGTATATTTTTTACAAAGCTATTACAAAACAAAAATAATTGTATTTGTATTCAAAATATATTTGCAAATTTTTTTTTTTGCAAAATATCTTTAGAAAAATTGAAAAACTAAAACATCAATAACTCCTTAATAAAACATAAGGCCAATAAAAATTGGTTCGAAAAGTAGATATATGTTTAATATTTAAAATAACGAAAACCAAAACTTTTTTTTATCAGTCAGATTTTTTCTAGAACTATAATTGTCAATGGCCTCTTTTATTGTCATTAACAAGTGAGTTTTGTGGATCTAAAAATAAACTATATTTTATTGTTTTGAGAGATATAAGTTTATGATTTTCAGATTCAGCAGGTTTTAAACTCCTTTGGTACCAAATTTTAGCTTCGCAACATTACTACAAGTTTGTTAAAAGGGTAATGGTAAATTGACATATTCCCAGCTTTATCCCCCCTCTTTTTTCAGTCAAAAAATAACTAACTTCAAGTTGCTGTAAATCTTAAAGGGTTGAGAATTTTTTGAAAAAATTTTACAGTCTTTCCTAACTTATATCTTTAAACATTTGTGCCAATTTTTAGCGAATTTGGTGATGCAGGGTGCAACCCCTAGTTTTTTGAGAAATTTTTACCCATTTATTAATCTTAACTAAGATAAAAAAAAATGCTTTAAATAGACTGTGCCTTCCATAAGAGTTTTTTTTATATAATTACTAGAAACTTGGTAAGCCTACACATAGAGCCTACAAGTAGTTTTTATCTTAAATAGTTATTTGTTAGCTGTCATAAATATTTTGTTTTTGTTTTTAGCTTTTTTAAAGTTATTTGCTTAAATTTTTGCTTCAGTCATTATTATGACTGACTCTTCAGAGTTTCATTAAGTATAATTTGTTTTAGTAATTCTGAAATTTGTTTAATTAAAAAAAAGATGTCAAATACCTTGCTTTTGTCTTTTTTTATACAATTCTCAATGGTGTTGAATATAGTATAAATAGTGTTAATGCTTTTTTTAAATTATTACAGTTTTTTTCAATTAAGTTGTAATACATAAATTTTTGTTTATTAACATTTAATTTTAGATAACATACTTTTATGTTTATAAGTACAGTTGCCTTGAAGACAGTTTTTGTATCACTTTGAAAATATCATTAGTGCTGTAATTTAAGTGCTTTTTCGATACTGATTTTGGAAAAAGATATGGATTTTAGGACCATAATTCTGGAAAAACATATCTAAATGAAGTAATAAGTGCTGGAATTTTTTTTAATTGATACCCTGATATGTTTTAAATGGTGATCCTGATATGTAACCTATAAAATGTATAATAACCATATAAAAATAGCAGTCAATAAGTAACGCTTTGAAAGTTTGACTTTTTTTAAATTTTAAAAGTACTATTTCTTTTTTTAGATTTAGTGAAAAATAATACAAATAAATTTTATTTTACAGTAAATAAAAACTAAATACTTTTTTAACGTACTTAAAAATACTTTAACGTACTTAAAAATAAAAACTAAATACTTTAACGTACTTAAAAATACTTTAACGTACTTAAAAATACTTTAACGCACTTAAAAATACTTTAACGTACTTAAAAATAAAAACTAAATACTTTAACGTACTTAAAAATAAAAACTAAATGCTTTAACATACTTAAAAATACTTTAACGTACTTAAAAATACTTTAACATACTTGAAAATAAAAACTAAATACTTTAACGTACTTAAAAATAAAAACTAAATGCTTTAACGTACTTAAAAATAAAAACTAAATACTTTAACATACTTAAAAATACTTTAACGTACTTAAAAATACTTTAACATACTTAAAAATAAAACAAAGTAAAAGCCGTATTCATGATTTAATTACAATTTTCATTTTATCAAAAAGTCTACAGTTGAACTGAATTGAATGTTGCAAGAAAGTTTTTTTATAAAAAGGGAAAACACAATCTGATTGTGTAAACTAAATTGTTCAATATTCTCTGTAGTAAGTACATTTTATTATTCAAACCAGATATTTTAACAACGGAAAAACTATTCAGATTTATGAAGTTGATATTAACCTCTTAGCCAGAAGTATGATGGTAACCTTTCACCTCTAACCGGAAGTATAATGGTAAAACAACAAAAAATTTTTCTTATTAAATAATTTGTTCTGGTTTATTATACTTATTTTCTAATGTTTTAATTATTTTTACAAAATAAACATTGGCACTTGGGAATTCTTTAAAAAATAAAAAATAAAATTTAATATTGTTAGACCCAAGACTTTTACCTTTTCTAATAAAATTTTCTAATAATAAATTAAAAAGATTGATAAATATTTATAAAAAGAAAACTGTTATAAATGTTATAAATAAAAACAATTCAATAACTTCTAACAAAAGTTGTCATAATTTTTTTATTGTTTCATGTGCTTTTGCCCATAATTTTATGTAAAAACAGAAAAAGAAAAAAAGAAAAAATTAAACAAAAACTTATCACTTTTTATCTCATGAAAATAAAATTATGTTCAAAAATACTTAAAAATGTACAACCACAAGAAAAAAGAACTATTTTTGTAAATTATTTGTAAATTTGAACAATTTCAATTTGAAGTCATAATTTCTGGTAACTACAATATTTTTCATGTAAACTTTTTTTTTTTAATCATTTTTATTTATCCTTTCAATATTTTTCATCTTTTTTTAATAAATTTATAAATAAATGCAAGTTTTTCAAAGTAACAGAGTTTCTAGATTGAAAAAAAAAAATAGTGTGACACCCTATTTTGAATTTTAATTGTTTATGAAAATCGTGTTTTAAAATTTGGTGAAATAAAAATCATGTTTTAAAACAAAATTGGTTTTGATTTTTAGATTTATGGAATACCAATCTTCTCGATGTGATTACAGTTCAAAAATAGAACAAAAAGTTACATTGGCATAAGCAGTTATTTATTTAAATAAATTCAATATATAATTTTTTAAAAATCAATTTAGTTGTTTATTAAAGTTATTTTGATTCTTTGATTTTTTATTATACATTTTATTTTGTCTATTTTTATGTTGGATCTTATTAGTATGTTGTAAGCATGGTTACTCTTTGCTTTATTATAGTATTTGTCATTAATAGGAAAAAGTAAACGTTTCAAAAGGGGCGACTAATCTACTTAAACGTTTAAAAAATTTGATTAAGAACTTGTTTTTTACTGCTTTTCAAAGTGCACCATTGTGGCATGAGGAAGTTGCAATTAATTTTTATTTAAAATATTCTATTGAATCTGAAAACATTAATTGAATGTGTTACTCTTGAAGTGCACCACACTGTTGGTCAGTCACACTTGAACATGCAAAACCAAGATTAAACAATCAATTTTTTTTTTTTTTTTTTTTTTTTTTTTTTTTTTTTTTTTTTGCACATTAATTTAATTTGAAGGTCAATTTGAAGTCATTATATTGACCTAAAAAAACTCAACTTTTTAAACAAACAATTTTTTAAATTATATATAAATTTTATTCTATTTATTTAAATTTTTTGTTTGTTTACTGTATCAAATAAAACTTCTTATGTTAAATTAATTTTGATGTTTGTTGCTAAATTTAAGAACATTATTTTTAATTGTTAAATTTAAACTTATAACTAAATTAAGATATTTTTAACTAAATTAAGATATTTTTAACTAAATTATACAAATTATACTGTTTGTTACATTAAATCCACTTCTTTTTAAATTCTTCTGTTTAAATTCATAAGTAGAAAAAAATATTCAATGTTTTTTTGTAAAGGGTTTTTTTCATTAAATTTAAGACTTATAACTAAATTAGGATATTTCATACAACTTTATGAAACAACTATTGCTTCCATTTTAATTTATAAATTCTTGGTAAAAGAAAAAAAACAACATTGCTTGAAGTAGCTACAATTGTTTTTTCTCTATTACAGTAGGTTGCAATAAAAATTTTAGTTTTTCTAAAAGCTTACGAAAAATATGTATTCTTTTGTAAAATTAAATATTACAATGGGTTTTCTTAAAAAAAAATTAGATTTGCCTAAGTTATGATTTGCACTTTTAGAAATTGCCAAAAATGTATTAAATTATTTGCATAAATTTTATATTTTTGGCAATAAAATGTTAAATGCATGTAATGCTTATTTTTTTAGACAACTGCAAGTTGTTATTTGATACTCGTTTCAGAGTTATTATTTTGCATAAATTAAAAAGGGGTTTATTCTCTATCTCACTCAAATGACTTTCAGTTTCAAATAAAAAATTATTGTTATTCCTTAAAATAGCATTTTTAGTTTTGAAACATTGAAAATGACAGTTGCTATCCCGTACTCCATAAATAACATAACTTTGAATGTGCCACTAATCAAGGGAATAAATACAGCTTAATACTAATAACTAATAACTACTATTTTAATCCATAATCCTTCAAGTATTTTTTTTATATATATGACTATATAAGTCTATACAAATTAAAAGTCAATATTTTCAATACCAGCCTTTGTTTATTGCTCTCACCTCCAAGAACTAAACATGACTCCATAAGATTGTATTGTTGCGGTAACAAGTAAACATCTTCAGAAATCTTTTTAGTAGGCTTATCTGGATGTAATGTGTTGTTCATTAATAATAATTGCATTTAACTTTGAATTATTTATCATTTGATTAATTTATTGTTTGAATCATTTATCATTTCCTTGTTGAATCTTATCTTACATCAAAGTAAATGCCAATAGTATTGGTATTTGAAAGTTATTATTTACCTCAAAATTTAATTTTACAAAAGAATACATCTTTTTCTAAGCTTAAAATGTCTCTAGGGTACAGAGATGTGGAAGGTTTTAGTTTTAACTTGAATGTTTTTGTAAAAAATCTTGCTCTAGATTTTGTACTCAGCATCAAGTTTGTGATGCAATCATAACAATTTACCCAGCATCAAGTTTATGATGCAATCATAACAGCAAGTTTTGTCTGATAGTAGAAAAAATAAATGGTAAAAAAGGAACTTTGGAAAAACGTGCAAAACATTAAATAGTTATAATTTATAACAAATCAAGAAAGCAAAAAAGATTTTAAAAAGGAAGAAGTTGTAATTAATGCTGAAATAAACTATTTGGCATCCTCAATATGTAATTACTTGCTGATTTTATTTATTTATTTATTTTTTACGGTATACATTTGTGTACACATAATTTTTCTTCCTTTTTTTTATTTTTTTTTTTGTTAGTTAATGTTATTTTTTTTTTTTATTATTTTTTTTTTAATTTAAAGAAAGCACTTATTAAGAAAGTTTATTTCTTTTAGGTAAAGATTTGTGTTGTGATTTGTTTGTTATTTTTTTGTTTTTGTTTTTTTGTTGGTGCAACCTTAGTTAAAATTAATTTGAATTCTTTAAAAAAACTTTAAATTTGAAAAGTTAGAGAAAATGTAAATAAAAAGGAAAGTATAAATTTGCTGGATTTACATTTTTCTCTGATTATTTTACAAACCTGTTTCTTTTACAAACAATAAATAATTTTTTTATTTATACTCGATTTTGAGATAAACAAAATAATTTCTTTATAATATGTAAACTATTTTTTATTTATTTTGTAGTGTAGTGGCTTACCTTGATCAGCAAGATTTTCTTTTGGGAGGTCAAAGTTGTAGTTTTGACAATCCTATCCTTAAAAAAAATAAATATATGTAACCAAAAACATTTTTGTTCCATAGGTATTGTACAGACTCAGTATTGTACAGACTAAGTATTGTACAGACTCAGTATTGTACAAACTCAGTATTGTACAAACTCAGTATTGTACAGACTCAGTATTGTACAGACTCAGTATTGTACAGACTAAGTATTGTACAGACTCAGTATTGTACAAACTCAGTATTGTACAAACTCAGTATTGTACAGACTCAGTATTGTACAAACTCAGTATTGTACAAACTCAGTATTGTACAGACTCAGTATTGTACAGACTCAGTATTGTACAGACTAAGTATTGTACAGACTCAGTATTGTACAAACTCAGTATTGTACAAACTCAGTATTGTACAGACTCAGTATTGTACAGACTCAGTATTGTACAGACTAAGTATTGTACAGACTCAGTATTGTACAAACTCAGTATTGTACAAACTCAGTATTGTACAGACTCAGTATTGTACAGACTCAGTATTGTACAGACTAAGTATTGTACAGACTCAGTATTGTACAAACTCAGTATTGTACAAACTCAGTATTGTACAGACTCAGTATTGTACAAACTCAGTATTGTACAAACTCAGTATTGTACAGACTCAGTATTGTACAGACTCAGTATTGTACAGACTAAGTATTGTACAGACTCAGTATTGTACAAACTCAGTATTGTACAAACTCAGTATTGTACAGACTCAGTATTGTACAAACTCAGTATTGTACAAACTCAGTATTGTACAGACTCAGTATTGTACAGACTCAGTATTGTACAGACTAAGTATTGTACAGACTCAGTATTGTACAAACTCAGTATTGTACAAACTCAGTATTGTACAGACTCAGTATTGTACAGACTCAGTATTGTACAGACTAAGTATTGTACAGACTCAGTATTGTACAAACTCAGTATTGTACAAACTCAGTATTGTACAGACTCAGTATTGTACAGACTCAGTATTGTACAGACTCAGTATTGTACAGACTCAGTATTGTACAAACTCAGTAAATGGTTTTTTAAAGATGAATTAGAAGCATCTTATTTCATTTTTATGTTAAAAATTTAAAATACTGCCTAATAATTTTTTTTTTTAAATATTCAATAGTCAAAAAATGTTTAAAATATATGTATATATAAAATATATGTATATATATATATGTGTGTGTGTATATAACTTATAAGTTATATATATACATATATTTTAAACAATTTTTAATCTCTAAATATAATTTTCGGATTTAATAGTTACAAGGATTTTTCTTTGTTTTTACAATAAAAGGGTCTTTTATTGAGGTCTTCCATTGTGGGTCTCCCATTAAGCGTCTTCTATTAAGGGTCTTCCTTTGAGGGTCTTTAATAGTGTTACAACTATTTTAATGTTTCAAGAATTATTTTCAGTAGTAAAGTTAAGAAATATTGCAAAAATAAATATTTTATCTTGTGATAAATATTTTATAATAGTAATAAATGTTTTATAACTGTAACAAGTATTTTATTGTTATAAATATTTAATACTTTGTAATAAATATTTTATAGTTGTACTAAATTTTAAATCATTTCCATATGTTTATATGAAAATAAAAACTTACAAAAATAAGTAAATATAAAAATAAAAAAGGTTTATAATTTTAGCAAATTTAATATTTAAATTCAAAAGGTCTCGTTGAGTAATGTGTTAAAAAAACTTTTTTTCAAAGTGACAATAAAAAGTTACAAAAGATCAAAGTAATGTTGACTATCATTATTTTCTTGATATTTTTTACAAACTGGAATTAATCTTTGCTTCTTACAAACTGGAATTAATCTTTGCTTCTTACAAACTCGAATTAATCTTTGCTTCTTACAAACTCGAATTGATCTTTAAATTGGATTGTATAAAATGAGTGGAGGATTAGCCCCCAGCAAAAGTACTGTTTATGTCGGAAATTTGCCATTTTCATTGACTAATAATGATATTCACAAGGTAAGAAGAGTTTTTAATTTTTAAAATTTCAAGATTACTTTCTTCTAAAATATTGGAGGGGGTTGTTATTTTACAGCTTGACAGTTATTAAATAATAGAAATCAGATAAAATATTTTGACAAATAGGAAATATTATTTTATGAAGAGCAGGGTTAAAAAAAAAAAAAAATTTTTAATGAAAACTAAACTAAATATTTAAAGAATATTTAGTTAAATTTTCATTTAAGTATGAAAATTCAATCAAATATAAGTTTACTTGAGTAAATTCTTTACTCACAGTTTTCAGTGTTGAATATTTGTTTTATTATTACTTTTTAAGATATGTTTTCATGTTGTCATCATGTTGTCATGTTATCATCATGTTGTCATGTTATCAACATTTTTTAAGATATGTTGTCATGTTATCATCATTTTTAAGATATGTTGTCATGTTATCATCATTTTTTTAAGATAGGTTGTCATGTTATCATTATTTTTTTAAGATATGTTGTCATGTTATCATCATTTTTTTAGTTGATAATTGATAAATTTTGAATTTTTGTAACAACATTTGCTGACTTCTTTCAAGTATATCATCTAAATAATATTTGATATAGTATTGACTAATAATGGTGTTCCTCTGTTAACATAAGTCCCAAATGAATGAGATCTCCTGTTTTGAACATAATTGTTTTTCAAACCTGGGATGTCTTACATTTTTTAGTGACACTCAACAACTTAACTAGCAACAGCTGACTTGTGTTTGATTTATTTATATATCGTATATATTATAAATAAAACCACAACTTATTGCCTGTAACACTATCATGTAGTCTCCATAGATTGTTTCTGAATAGGGATAAATATTTTGTATCTCTCAATTTTATTCTTTTGATTTTGAATGTTTTCTTTGTGGGATATCCATCATGATGTTCATTTTCTTTTCTTAAGAATGCTGTGATCAACACAGTAGTTTGTAAAACTATTAGTTAGTGTTAGGCCTTCAATTGTATCACATTCTGCATGAGGGTTTTCACCAATAAAAGCTTGCAATTGCTTGATAATCACACCTTTTTAATGTTCTCTTTTTTTTTTGAGAAAATAACTTTATCTCTCTTACTATAATGACAATTAGATGGGATGGCATTTTGATTTGAATTCGAGCATTTAATCTTTTAACTTGGTGTAGAGTTTATGTTAGTTTTTGGATATTTTGGATATCGCGCAAATTATTTCTTTAATAGTTGTTTAATTTTATTATTAAACGCTGTTTTTATTTGTAAATACTATTCTATTATAATTCATCAAAATTTGTATTTTGTTAAAAATCCTAGTTCATCAATATTTGTCATTATTTAACATTCTGTAGAGAAAGATTAAATTTGCTGCTTATCTAACTTCCATCAGCTTAATCCTTCATTTTCAGTTGTTTCTCACCTTTAGATATATGAGCCTGCTAGTTCAAGAAGTTCTTGTATTTCCTTCATCAGAAATTCCTTATATTATAGTTCCAAAATCCAAAGATTTTAGATTATTTTTGAAAGTATTTTTATGCTATTAAATAATTATATTTATATTAAACATTTACATTAAAGATCTAGTTAAATTTGTAAACATAGTCACTTTTTTCTCTTTTTCAATTTTTTTGGATCAGATATCTCATAAGTTTTATGATTTTTAAAAAAATCATAAAAAATTAAAAAATCATAAGTTTTATGATTTTTTAAACCGGACCAGAATTATTATATCTGGTAATTCAGATTTGCTTACCCCTATTCAAACCAATCAACTCCAATGGACATTCAAATCAAATTCTAAGTTGGATTTTGGTTCAACTACATATGCACTGTCATCTTTTTTTTATTGTTATTGTTAAACATGAAGAAAGTAATTTGTATTTAAAATAATATATATTTTAAATGTTTGTGTTTTTATTTAGGTTTTTGAGAAGTTTGGAAGAATTGCTAAGTAAGTTTGTTTGTTTTTAAAATCCTTTTAAAAATATTTTCTTATTTTTGATCTGCTAAATTTATAATTTAGGGTTACTGTTTTGAGGGATCGTGTTAGCCGTGAGAGCAAGGGTGTTGCATTTGTTCAGTTTATTGAACGTGCTTCTGCTATTAATGCTTGCAAAGAAGTGAACCAAAAACAGGTTTTAATTTTTTTTTATGAATTAAACCTAAAATAACACAATTCTTTAAAAAAAAATTATTTTATTTTGAAAACAGAAAACAAGTTGCAGGGAAATCAGAAAAACATTGCTTAAATAAAGTATTAAAATTATAAAATATATCACACATCTCATTACCATATCTCATAACTCTTGCGTCTCATTACCATATCTCACACATCTCATCACCATATCTCACACCTCACACATCTCATTACCATATCTCACACATCTCATCACCATATCTCACATCTCACACATCTTATTACGATATCTCACACCCCACACATCACATTACCATATCAAAGAGATATGGTAATGAGATGTGTGAGGTGAGAAATAACAAAGAGACACATTTCATGTGTCTCTTTGTTATTTCTCACATCTCACATGTTTAATTATCACTATTTGTTAATTTTTGAATGCAATTGCCAATTTAATTCTTAGTTGTTTGAAAGAAAAATTAAATGCGTAATTGCAAAAGATAATGGTCGAGCAGCAGAGTTTATAAAGAAAAAAGAGTATCCAGATAAAAGCACTTGTTATGAATGTGGTGTATGTGTTTTTATTCTATTAATGTTTGACTTATTTTTTTCTACTAAATCTTATCTAGTGGTTGACATCATGTTAATAATACATATGCGTGCTATGACATTATTTTTAGGTATGTAAGTATGGATAGTCATACAGAAATGAATTAATTTAAAAATTATTTAATAAAATATTTATAATATAAATATAGTACATTATATGTTTTAACATAAGCTACCAGTAAAAAGCATTGAACAATTTTGTTTTAAGGAGGAAGGTCACTTAAGTTACAAATGTCCTAAGAATTTGCTTGGTGAAAGGGAAGCTCCACCAAAAAAAGAAAAAAAAGAAAAAAAGAAAATTAAGTTAATAGAGAACCAAAAAAGGTTTGTAAAATTGAATCAAATTTTTCAATTTAAAACTGCGTCACAACAGTTTTACTTTAACAAATTCAACACAAATATTTTTTAAATAAGCCAACATAATAATTGCAACAATTAAAGTGTTGTAGCGTCACACTTTTTTGTTGAAATGATACACTTTTGTTGTTAAGAATATTTCTTTTATTAAACAAGTTTTTCATAAATTGTTGCTTCATAACATTAAATTTATCAGAGTTACTGTTATCATACTTTAATTAAAACATAAATTTAATTATTTAACAATTAATTTAGTTTATATAAGTTTAATAAAAAATCTTTTTGTAGTTTTTCTTTTTTTTTTTTTTTTAATTGTTACATAGCACAGGCACATTAAACATGTTAGATTAAAGAAATATTAGATACATATTAAAAGTTGTATGAAACAGTAATATGAAAATATCAAATTATGTTTAACATTTATTTTCTTCAGTTGAATAATTAAATCTGATTAATTTCTTATCTAAGGGAGAGGCTAGTTGCAATAATGCTAAGTTGCAACAATGAGTTGTTTATGCCTTTTAAAAGGCATAAATCTTTTAAAGAATGGTTTTAAATTGTTATTCCTAAATAATTTTACATTTAGCAATTATATTGATAACACCTCAACTATATAAAATTTATTGTAATAAAATAAATATTGCAAAAAGTTACTTACAATATAAAATGAAATTTTGTAATAAATTGTGTTGTACTGTACAGAAAAACTGTACAATATTATATTTATATTTATTAAATATTACAAAATTTAACCCTACTATATATATAATAGAGCACCCTAATATATAAATATATATATATATATATATATATATATATATATATATATATATATATATATATATATATATGTATATATATATATATATATATATATATATACACACACACACAACCCTCAAAATTAGGGTTGGCATTCAGCAATGCCAACCTAACTGCCGACCTGAAAGTGTTTAAGGTGCCCCACAAATATATGATATGTAAGTAAGATAAACAAATCACCTTAGAGTGCTTACTGTTTACTTGTAAAATAAAATAATGGAAACTAGAAGGAAAACAAGATATTGATTTTTAGGTCAACAGCAACAATATAATGAAAATGAATTTATTTGTGAGATTGAACAGCTGTTTGGTATAGCTCATGAAAATGCAATATCATTGGTTACCATTGAAGAAGACAAACAGTTTGTACAACTGCAGAGAGAAGTAATATTGAGTAAAAAAGCACAGCACTGTCAGCAATGGAGGTTAGAATACCCTAATGTTTCTTTTTCTAAGAAAGAAATATTTTGTTCACTTAATTTGTGATAGGCTAAATGATTGTATTGGTGCTTTTCATGGTTAAAGATGAATGAATGAGGAGTGCTTTATTTATCTTGTTACTGATTGTCCAGCATTTCCATCTGATGAAATGCAGTTAATACTAATATATTAACATCAATCTCTGATGCAAGTCTATCAAAGTAAAAGCTTCATTTGTAGTGCCTTCATTTTGTAAACTTTTACCAGTAATATAGTTTTCCCTAGGAGTTGTAAGAGCCCTAACAAAAGTTTGGTTTAGGAAAGAATTACTAGATCAATGAAGAAGTATCTAACAATATTTAGCGATACCACAGTATCTGTTACTGAAACCATCAGTATCTGTAAATATTATTAGATACTGAAAAAGTAGATTAATAAAAATACTTTTTAGTCTGTGGATTTTTTTTTTGTATTTTATTTTTCCTTTATTATAAATATAAAATTTGTGTAAAGCAATATAGTTTACAGACAAATAATTTTTTGAGAACTTTGCAAGTCTTATACTTTGAAGTGTTGTGTTGCAGCTTACCCTATTCATTGTTGCAACAGTTGTTTTAAACAGGGTAAGTTGCAGCATTTTATATTGCACAACAGAGACAAGTTGTGCAATTTTAAATTGTATCATCATTGTTAAATGTTACTAAAATTTATTTTATTACCCTGCAATTTTTTTTGAAGAAAAAATCAAAGTAATTAGAAATAAATGTCTTGCATTTGCTAAATTGTGTTGCAACTAGCCTCAGTCTCCCATAAATATTTTCTTTCCATAAATACTTAAAGAAGTTTAATTTAAGTTTATATATATATATATATATATATATATATATATATATATATATATATATATATATATATATATATATATATATATATATATATATATGTATATATTATAGTAATAATACTTTAAAAAATTTAATTCCCTCTTAAGAATTCCAAATCTATCGCCAAAACAATTTTCCAGAAAACAGGCGTCTGGTTACTATTGCTAGAAACCATTGTAAAAAGGTTTTGTCTAATTGCCTGCTATTCTCAGGTAACAAAATTTCATCTCAAAAATTAGACTCCAGAGATTTCTGGAGAATCTTCAACAGTATCTATAATGATTCAATTCAATTCATATATTCTGAAATAGTTGTTGAAATAGCATTCGTGGAAGTTTACAAATAGTATTTGTACTAATTTTGAGTAAAAACTTTGTAAATAAAAGCTAATAAATATATTGATTAATGCAAATAGTAATATTAATCATCCACAGTAGTAACAAAACGAACATTAAAAGTTGAAGGAGTAAAAATACTAATAAAGATAACAATAAAAGTTGTAGTTGTAACAGTAATAACATTACAATGATAAAAGTACAATGATTATAATAAAAATAAAATGACAGAAATAAAAATAATTACAATAATCATAACAAAAAAAATAATAGTAATTTAGTATTAGTCACATAAATACACACATATACAGACACATACAAATACACACATACAAACACACATACACACTTACGTTCACATTCTATAATAAGGGCAAATCTGATCCTCATGTCTAACATGGTTCAGATTTTGTTACCTCACCAAAAGATTATTGAATTGTTTGCTAAGAACTTTTGATCAATCTCATCTCTTGATTCCACTAATCACATCCTACCTGATACAGCCGAAAAACAGGTTGATCAATTGCTTATCATTCATATCACTTCAGCTTCTGTATCTAAAGTGATTTCTTGTTTAGATTCTTCTACAACATTTTGGGGGATGGGCAGCATAACTGTTATATTCTTGCTCAAGTATTCTTTGGATACTCTTTTTTCTTTATAAACTCGTCTATACTTTCAAAACTATTTAACAAGTACCTATCAGAGTCTTATTTTCCAGCCTGCTGGAAAGTGGCATCTGTTATCCCTATTTTCAAAAATTCTGGAGAGCTATCTGACTTTTCTAACTAAAGTCCATTAGTCTTCTTTCTATCATAAGCAAGGTTTTTGAGTCTTTAACAAACACTTAATCTCTTATTTTGAATCTAATAACTTCTGATCATTAATATGGGTTCTGATTTTTTTGTTCTGCTGTTGATTTGTTAATGGTAAGAATCACTAGATTTTATTGTGCATTAGATAGATGTGGATAGGTTAAGATTATTGCTTTACTAAAGCCTTTGATAAAGTTTGGCATGCTGGTCTTCTCCATAAGCTCTATTCCTATGGTGTATAAGGTATTATCTTTAAGGTTAATGAATCCTTCCTTACAAATTGTAGTATAAAAATTGTCCTAGATGGATAGCACTCTTCTTCATATCCTGTATCTTCAGGGGTTCCTCAAGGTGCTATCCTTGGCCCTATACTTTTTTAAATTTATATGAGTGATCTCCCAGAAATTCTCACATCTAAGATGGCATTGTTCAGGCTTGGTCGGGAAGCGGGTGCGATCGCACTTGATAATTGACCATGGAAATTATATTTACTTGCGAAAAGCCGGCCAGATTTTTCAGGCGTTTTGAGAACATTTAAGTTTATGTATGTTTCCTTGTTTGTCCGCAAAGTAATAAATTTATTATTTTATCATAAATTTTAAAATATTTTGTTTTACGGACGTACATGGAAACTTATATAAACTTGAATATTGTCAAACATCTTAGTGCGGAAAAATAAATAAAGAATATTCGCAAACACAAAAAACCCGCCAAATTTACGAACAACTAATTCTATTGGTTCAATTAATAAATAACTGAAATTACTAAAGAATTCAAGCAAATGTTCTAGAGTATTCTGTTGAATTTTTTTTCAAAATCGTATAATTTGAGTTTTGTTATGTTTTCGTTGAGATTTCTAGCATCAATTGTTTTAAGAATATACTATCAAACAAACAATTATTTTAATACAATGGCTTATTCTCAGTCACATCTACAAAGCTATAAATGTTTTAAACTAACATTTGTTTACAAAAATTAATGTTTTAAATTTATATTTTTTAACTTGTCAACGTTTTGTAAATATATTATAGATTTAATTAGTATAATCTTATTTTTTATATATAAGGGATGTATTTATATGTATGTAATGTATTAGAAATTGGTTTATTAACTTCAATTATTTTTGCTTCAGCCATTCTTACAAACTCGTTATACTTACACTTAAAGTTACTTTTTTCTGTAAAATACTAGTTAAAGATATAAAGCCCACTCACTAAACATCATCAGCGATATTGTTAAGCAGTTCTGCTTCCTCCTTACAAAGTAATTTACTGTTTTTAGTTAATTTCTATCTAGCTAATTAAATTTCCACAGTAACTCAATGATTTAGTTATTTCATTTGTTCATCTTACTAAGAAGAATTGTTTCAAATATGTTAAACTTTTCAAACTACGCGAAACATAAAACAGGTACTGAAAAAACTTTTTTTATAATTAAATTATGTAGCGCTAGTTTTATTGGTTTAATCTTGTTGGACTTTACAGGGCTGGGAACTGCATTATTTTGGTGGCCTTTTTTATGTGCGAAGGCATAAAAATGACTTAAAAATACTGATAGGTCCTCTTGACTATTTCTCGGCCCATAACATTGTGTGTCCCGGGACTATAGCTCTTCTACCCCCCCCCCCCTCTTATTTCCAGCACTGGAAATAAAACATAAGTATATAAATAAAAATTATATATAATCTTTGATAAATTGATGAACGTTTGTTTCTTTATTAAACAATCATTATTAGTACGTTGTTACTATATACAAAAAATGTCACTTTTTTTTTAAAAAAAAAATTATAAAAGAGCGACGTTTCAAAAATATTTGCTCTAATCGTATTTATTTTGCTTAAAGTTTTTTTGCGTTAAAAGCTATTTTGCTTTTTTTAACTGTCTCTCATCGGTCCAGTTTATCTTATTGTGCTTTTTTGCTTGTTTTTGAAATGTTCTCAAAACGCCTAAAAAATCTGGCCGGCTTTTCATAACTAAATATAATTTCCGTGGTCAAATATCGAGTGCGATCACACCCGCTTCCCGACCAAGCCTGGTTGTTCGTTGATGATACTACCATTTATTCTTGTCTTGATACAAAGCCAACACTCTGATTGCTTGGAGGGGGTATTTGAACTTGAAAAGGATCTCACTTCTGCTACAGCATAAGGGGGTATCCAAAAGTACGTACGCAGTAAAACCACTGATTTAGGACTCCCCTTTCCCCCTTGAATGAACCTGTATGTTTTTGCAGACCCCCTCCCCTCCACGTACGTACGCATTATTTTTTTTTTAAATGAACTCGATTTTTTTTTCTATCATTGTTTATAAAGAGAGATTATTAAAAAAAATTGTGACTGAAGTCAGAGAAAAAAAATCAACTCTGATTTGTTACACACGTGAAATTTAATGTTTAAAAAAAAATAAAATCAAATTTATGAGATATAGTCAAACCGCGTACGTACTCACTGTCTTTAACAAACCCTCCCTCCTTGTACGCGTTCGTATGCTTTTAGGAAACTCCCCTCCCCCCATACCTGCCTACATACTTTATGGATGGCCCCTAAGGCACTCAGTGGCTGGTGAACTTTAACTAATAATTTTTTTCAGCTTATCATTATGGCTACAATCTAGACCTTCCTATATTTATGAACATTAACTTACTCAATGAATCATTTACACTTCATCTTCTAGGATTAACTCTTACTTTCGACCTTTCTTGGAAACCATATATCAAATTGATTTCAAAATTAGCATCTGCTAAGGTTGCATTTCTTTATTGTGCTCACCACTGTCTTACTCAGGATTCTATTTTTTTATTTCTATAAATCTCAAATCCGTTCTTGTATGGAATACTGTTGCCATTTCTAGAGCGGATCAAATAATGATGCTTTGTAAAAAAATTGCAATAATTGGAGGCTGGGAACAAAAAAGCCCTTGAATTTCATTTCAGCCCTTGAATGTGCGTTTCTACTCAAGTTCATTCTTGTGTTACTTATCATTCAATAAAGTCTCATCCTTTTACTTTGACTGTTCATAAGTGCTCCTAAAGTTCTTATTTGTCTAGTTTTTTCCTCAAACGCCAGTTCTTTAGAATTTGCTTCCTTCATCTTGTTTTCCTGATTGATATAATATCCAATTATTTAGAGTGTCTATTAACTGTTATCTTGCTTTATAAACTTCATCTTTTCTCTTCCAGTAAATTTTAACTCTAATAATGGTTGCTTGCAACCTTGTTAAATGTGAAGATGTTTAAAAAAAAAAAAAAGAGTTTTATTTTTTTATTTTATAATAAATACTGTTTTTAATCAATAAAATGTAATTTTTCTCAAAATTTATTTCCTTTATTATGCAAATTAGTTTGTTCACTTTTTTATATAAAAAAATTATTAATTTAATTTTGAAAAAGCATTTTTGTTAATCCTGATTTATATCATCTCAACTTTGTTTAAAAAGACTTGAGAACTTTTCTGTTGTTTTCTGATGTTTGTTGTGACAAAAGAATTTGTTATTTTGTAAACTTTTAAATAAGTTTTTATATAAAAATAAATAATTTTATTTCAATGTTAACAAAATAAATAATTTTATTTCAATGTTAACAAAATAAATAATTTTATTTCAATGTTAACAAAATAAATAATTTTATTTCATTGTTAACAAAATAAATAATTTTATTTCAATGTTAACAAAATAAATAATTTTATTTCAATGTTAACAAAATAAAATTGTTAAATGAAAAAGTATAAAAATATAAACAAATATACTTGAATGAATATAGTGTATTGTGTAGTAAAAGTTACTATAAGTATACAGTATTGTTGTTATATGCTACATAGTACTAGTAATAGTATAGTTATAATTTATTCCATATATTATTCCATATTGGCATTGATTTACCAATAACTTCAAAAGAATGTTCCCCAAAATTATTTGCACTGTTTTTTGGTTTTTATATGGGTATGAATTTCAAAAGTTTTTAAAAATATTTAGCAGTGTGCAATTGCCATTTACTAAAAGTGACTCAAATTTCATTTACAAGTGGCAAGTTTCATTTATGAAATATTGGTACTTATAAATGAAATAAATGCTCATACATGTACTTTTTGACAGCATGAACTTATAAATGAAACTCTAAAGCTTTGTATGTTCTCTTAAATGGAAATAGAATTGGATGATTTTCCTGCGACCTGACTTTTTTTTTTAACATTAAAGTCTTGTCTCAAATAACTTTGGATATTTGTTCTCCCCTGCTTACTCTGCTAACTTAAACTAACTTAGTACTTAGTACTTTTTCCTTGAAAAAATTTTTCCTTAGATTTAACATAACTTAAGGTGAGTTTCCACTCATCCGTTTTTCTACGGGAACGGGATAGGAAAGGGAAAAATAATCACTTGAGCATGCGCAGTTTTACTTCGGACATATTAAAACTTATAATACGCATGCCCACGTGATTATTTTTCCCTTCCTTTCCCGTTCCCGTGAAAAAACGGATGAGTGGAAACTCACCTTTAAATGTGTTTTTTGTATACATGAACGGTTTATTTAATTGGAAAAAATATAATTCAAATTTAAAAAAATAATAATAATGAAAAGTTTATTGTTAGACTGTTTTATATGACTAATGTTTTAAATTATTTTACTCTCTTTTTTTGTATATTGGTTAGTTTTATTTTAAACTTAAAGTATTATTTTTAGTAAATTAAGGTTTATTTTTAAATGTTTTTTTCAACTCTTCCAATTTTCAACTAGTTTATATATTGTATTATATTGTATTATTATATATATTATCTATTATAAATTTTATGTTACCAAATCTCCCAATTGATTATAAACTTTTCAAAAAAAACCAAGTTAAATTGCTTACTACACTACCTTTTTGTTACTTTTTTGTTACTAAGTTAATATGGCTCCAGGAATCGACTTTACAGAAATTGTATATGAAGCAGTAAAGCAACCAATTAGTCAACTATGGCTACAATTTTGAGAATATATTTTAAAAAGTTAGTTAATGTAAGAGATTATTATTATTTTGGTCCAAAACAAATGGGCAATTTAATAGTTGAATAATCAAAAATTGAAATTAAAATAATAGTCTTCAACAAATTACTTTCAAAAACCTTTTTCAAAAAATATTAAGATCGAAAGAGAGCTTGGCGTCATAAGGTCGGGTGAATAACAAAAGAAAGCAATTGCTTTTACTCAGCGTTTTATGCTTTTACTCAGCGTTTTTGGAGTAAATTGCTCAGCTTTGCTTGAATAAAAATTTGAGCGATTTCGCTTAAGTTTTTAATTCACGTAAAGCTGAGCAATTTACTCCAAAAACGCTGAGTAAAAGCAATTTTTTTTTTATTAAACCGGCCTATAGTCTTAGACGAAAAAAAATTAAAAAATCAAGTCAAACAGCTACCTGAACGGCAAATTAAGTATTTGGTTGGCCGGAAAAAAGACTTCCGCAATTGGGGTCTCGTCGAATAGCTCTTATTATATACAACTTACATACGCCCGCATCTCGAGCTTGCATTTCAAGCAAGCTCGAGATGCGGTCGGTTGTCGTTTCTAAAGCACGACATGGAAACACTGGAAAAGGTGTAGCAGCGTGCAACTAAAACAATTACATTGGTTAAGCACTTACCATACGCTCAATAATTGTAAATGTTGCATTTAACGGCTCTTGAATACCAATGGATAAACAGCGAGTGCATTGACTGTTGAGAAAAAACGAAACCATTGCATTGATAAAGAGCAGTTTTTAAAAAATCGTATTGTGCGTTACTGGAACACTCAAACGCTAAACGTCGTCGATAAGCAAAGTGTTGATTTTTTTCTAAAACTTTGTTTTCTAGCTATAGCTGCTTCGTATGCAGCACAAAATTTTCAGAACAGGGAGGGGGGGGGCTAGTGCTACCCCTATTTGTAGATCTTTTTTATTCATTTTTGGCTTAGTTTTTGTTGTAAATTTTGATATGATCAGTTACTGAATAAATAAAAACTATTATTTTTTATATTACTTATATTGAACTTATTACTTTTATCTTTAAATCTTTTTTTTTTTTTTCATTTAAAAAGTAGTTAGATAATTTGTTGCTTATAAAATTATTTTTTTTTAATAATAATTCAAATTTGATTTTATAATCAATTAAGAATGCATTCGATGCAAGCACATAAGTTTTACATAAATCTAATGCAGAACTTAGAGCAGGTAAATGCAGAACTTAAGGACTAGATAAGCTTAACCCTCTAAACTTAACCTTACTTATCTCCCCAAACAATGGCATTCGGAACATTCTGGAAGTGTTGACTCGCTTTAAATATTAAATTATGATATCAAATAGTCAAATAACAATATAAATGTGCACATTTTTGTGTGTTTTGACGCTTCATTCGGTGTTTGCAAAACTTCTGCATTAAACTTAATAAAAAAGTGTTTTTAAAAAAAAAAAATTTCTTAAAGACTTATTTTTAAGCTTATGTTATATGTTTGTTTCTTTAGAAAAAAACTTCTACAAGAGTACTACGAGGAAGACGACGATACCATGCTTGAAGAACAAGCGATTGAGAATGATGATGAATTATTTGAATACAACTTGAGTCATGCCATTGAAGAAGAAGCATTATCAGCTTTAAATCGTCCCGATAACGAACGCAAACGTGGTTTTGAAAGTGAAAGCAGTTTCATACCTGATAGTGAAGTAACAGTCGCCGTAAAGAAAAAAATGATTAAGAAGTCGTCTTATTTTAGCGATGAAGAAGAAGAAGAAGAAGTAGATGATGGTTAAATTAACTACTAGCATATGTTTGTGTAAAGTAATTGATCGAGCCAAGCATTGATCTTATTAAACAATAAAAAGATTTGATATCCTAGATCTCCAACAGTTGGTAAAATCGTTTTGGTATCACATTTGATTACCCATATAAACATTGTATTAGGAATGCTGATGTAATTGGCTGATACAATTTACTGCTTACTCAGCAATCTTCCAGTTAGAGTAATAACGAGCATGTAGAGTCAAATAGAAATTGGTTAGGTAAACGTAATTATATTTAGCTTAATAGGCTCTCTTAGTAAGTAAAGATTTTAGATCGTTAACAGAACTTTTTAGTTTAGTAATAATCTAATTCGAGAACAGTGAGACGATGCTTGTAAATCGTTATCGTAAAAAAAATATATATCATGTTGAGATTAATTTATTTCTAGTTATAGTATAATAATTCACATATAAATAAAAACCGAGCAGAGTAAAATTTGTTTTAATTTTATTTTATTTTGTTATTTACTCTGCAATCGAAGAGGCTACTTTATTGTGGTTACAACCCTCTCTCTTCTTTTTTACTCCGAAACACGAACCAAACAAGGCAAACAAGATTACTGTGCGGAGAAACAAGTTAAGCGCGGTACTACCATAGACGTGGTGGGAATCGAACTCGGAGCTTCTCGTCTGTAAAGCGAGTACGCTACCGCTACATCGCTAACATACAGTATCGGACAAAACAAGTGCAACCAAATAATGCTAATTTAGTTTCTTTATACAAAAGTGCTGCATTTTTTCAATTTAGAGAAATAACTTTGTAACTGTTTAGAGACAACGTTCTTCAAGTTTTATTCATCACAAAGTTCATTATTTGAACACGAAAATTAATAAATTAATCAAAAGTATTAAAAAAAAAGTTAATTTCCTTCTGAACAAAACAAGTGAAACTCCACAAAATGTTGACCAAGCTGTATTTTGCTATCAATATTTTGTGGCGAATCCTTTGCTGTCGATCACAGCCTTGCATCTTCGAGGCATAGATTCGATCAGGTGATCAATGAAACTTTGTGGAATCGCTGCCCAGGCCTTTTGGATTTGTTCAAACAGTTGATCCTTATTACGAACGCCTTCACAATTAATTCTGCGGTTGACGATCTTTTACAGGTTCTCGATAGGGTTGAGATCCGGAGATTGAGACGGCCAATCCATCACCGATAGGTGGTTGTCTTGAAACCACTGCTTGACTACTTTGCAGTGTGTTTCGGATCGTTGTCTTGCTGAAAAACCCATTTCATTGGCATATTCCATTAAGCATGAGGTAACAATAACATCTTTTAGGATATTTTTATACATGAAACGGTCCATTATTCCATCGATTCGATGTATTGGACCGAGACCGTTAGCAGAAAAACACCCCAGACCATTACATTGCCTCCACCATGCTTCACGGTCTTATGACAGTAACGTAAATCGAGGCGTTTTCCGGCCGGTCGACGTACACGGCAAATTCCATCGCTCCTAATGATGTTGAACTTCAATTCATCACTGAACAGGACAGTTCGCCATTTCTGCACATTCCAGTCAATATGAGATGTAGCAAACAGGAGTCTTTTCTTCTAGTTCTTTAGTAAAATCAGCGGTTTCTTTGCAGGGCGTCAAGAAAACAATCTGGCTTCAACAGCACGCCGTCTGATTGTTCTGTCCGATACAGGCAGCTCTAATTGCTTTTGTATCTCGACTGATGATATCCAGGGATCCTTCTTGACGAATCTGACGATCATAGAATCCTCTCTAGAAGTGGTGGAACGCGGTCTTCCACCACTTTTAGAGAGTTATCTGCAGCCAACTTCCCCGTAGAACGATATTTGGAACATAGTCTTGATACGGTCCATTTTTTCACGCGATATTTATCACAAATACTTTTTTGTGACGTTCCACTTACGTAATCGCCAATAATTTTCTTTCTTAGTTCCAATCCAAGACTGTCGGGAGCCATTTTTGCACTTGAAGTCGTAAAAATAATAAAAATAAATAATCACGCTTCTCAAGGCATACCGTGTTACATTTACCTTGTGATGATAGAACAATGCTTTGTGGAACACAACGTCTTGGTTGTATGTGGACTGTATTGATGTAATGAAACACTTGTTGTATGTCACTTCTTGTATTGATGTTCTTCGATAAAACACTTTGATAAAACTCACTTCGATAAACTGTCTCGATAATACTGACTGAGTTACATGTCGGTTTACATGTCTATTATAGAGTAAAATGAACCTGCGTAAACCTGCTCTGGAAGATTCTAGATGCTTCTTTTCAATGCTTCTGAAAGCTTCTGGATGTGTCTGGATGCTTCTAAATGTTTCTGGATACTTCTGGATGCTTCCAGATGCTTCTTCTGGAATTTTCTAGAAGTTTCTGCATGCTTCTGGAAACTTCTGGAAACTTCTGGATACTTCCTTTAATTATTAAAAAACTTCCGTGACGTTGACACGGACCAGACTTAAGAAAATAAAACGAACCAAAAAAGTTGCACTTGTTTTGTCCGCTGGAAAATGCCGCTTGTTAACGAAATTCTGCCTTTGTGCTGTCACATGTCAGCTGATTGCTCATGTCACGGCATGCTATGACTCCAGACTCCTGAACTGTTTGCTGTGGTAGTATAGTTCGTTTTGTTTTTAAGACATGTAAAATTAGGAACACTTTTTAGCATTGTTCGTTGTTGGTTACAAATGTTTTTTCTAATACTGTATATTTATCTTTGAAATTTTTCTCTATTAATCTTTATTTTGTGTTAAATAAAATAACAACTGAAGTTTATCGTTGTTTCAACCGAAGATTTTTTCTCGATATTTTTTTTTTGAAATTTTTTTTAAGTTTTCTTTAACTTAAACTATTAATCTAACTAGATGAATGACACGATCATAGTAAAGACAGTCACAGAAACTTAAAAATGTACAAACTTACATTTTATGCTTATTAATCTACAGCAAATTTTATGCGCATTGTTTTAGCTTTTTTTTTTTGCATTCCTTCATCTATTTTTTTCCATTTTATGATTTATTTTTTATAAATGTAGAAAAATTGCGGCTCCTAAAAAATAATGTTTTTGATTGCAACACATACCATATCAGGCAAATATACCATACCTACCACTATACTTATATACCATACTTACCACTACATACATACAACAACACGTATACCATATCAGGCAAATCATTAATTCATATAAGTATGAGTTTAGCAACTTGCATTGATGATTGCAGTCAAAGTGATTATTCAGTATCGAGAAAATAGACGTTTGCGTAAAACATAGACGTTTTGCGTAAAACATAGACGTAAAACATAGACGTTTGCGTAAAACATATTCATGTTTTGGCTGCAAAATTATTTGATTAAATATTTGCAACTAAAGAAAATAGTAACCGAGCAAAATTGGATAATCACGCTAAAAGCAAACAAGGAGAATCATCACAATCAACATCCTTGTTTGCCGAAATTCAAGAAGTTCCGAATCTAAAGCTAAAATCAACAGAAAAATCAAAAGTTGAATAAAAAAACATCAAGACCTTCTATATATATTTACCTATATATATATATATATATATATATATATATATATATATATATATATATATATATATATATATATATATATATATATATATATATATATATATATATATATATATATATATATATATATATATGTATATATATATATATATATATATATATATATATATATATATATATATATATATATATATATATGTATATATATGTATATATATATATATATATATATATATATATATATATATATATATATATATATATATATATATATATATATATATATATATATATTATATATATATATCTATATATATATATCTATATATATATATATATATATATATATATATATATATATATATATATATATATATATATATATATATATATATATATGTATATATATATATATGTATATATATATATATATATATATATATAATTTTTCGAGTTCAATATATATATATATATATATATATATATATATATATATATATATATATATATATATATATATATATATATATATATATATATATATATATATATATATATATATATATATATATAATTTTTCGAGTTCAAAATTATTTTTAAGTTGTAAAGTGTAGTTTTAATTTTTACATACATATTTTGTAAATATGTCTTTTGAAAAATGTATGCAAATTGGGCATACTCCTTTAAAGTAGCCGTCCTCAGAATTTATTAAATAAAACCTGTTCGTGAAAGAATTGCGATAAAAAAAAAATTTAAGTACTAAAAAATAAGAAATTATAAATTTTTTTAAAAACTCATAAAGAAATATAAATTGAAATATATAATATTTAATAAATACAAGAAAAATATGTTTAGTTATCAACTTGATAGTTGAATTTTTTATTTTATAACAAAGCATTGTCCGATTTTTTCTTGACTCCGAATGATTTTTTTCTCGATTTCTCTCGTTTTTTCTCGATTTTGAATACTTTGGATGTATGACTTAAAATTGAGCTGTTTATATTTTTGGTCTCTCGTATATGAGCAACTGTCTTATTGAATATTTGAAAGTAAGCAAAAGTTTGTTTTTTTGTTGTTGTTATTTTTTTTTGTCTAATTTATTTCGCTGTTAAAAAATATTTACATCGCAAATACATTTATATGTATATGCGATGTTTAAAGTAAATAGTGGATAAAAATACTAACGCCCCCATCTGCATTTAATTCATGTGGTTGGTGAATTTATGTGTAACTAGTTCAAATTCATAATTTGTTTCACCACTTTTACAGCAAGTTTCCGTCACACATATAATTTGTTATATTTCTACAGGTTCCAAACACTATTCTGCACGCATGTTTTTGTTTATTGTAAATTTTCTTAAGTTTTGTTTAGCCCTGTAAAATAGAGCCCTGTGGAACCTCGCAAGTTATGGAATATGGAATTGTGTTTTTTTGAGCATAGTACAAAAATTGCTTTTGGTATGTCAGGTACCCTTTGAACCAAAGTAGGTTTTTATTTTTCCCTCCATAGTTTTCAAGTTTTTTTATTAGTATATTGTGATTTACCGTATCAAAAGCTTTCGACAGATCAATGAAAACTCTTAATGTAAAACAGCCATTGTCAAAGGCATTAGATATTTGATCGGAAAGTTCAACTAATGCATGTTCAGTGGAATTTTTTTTTTTAAACCAAATAGCCTGCAATACAACATGTCATTCTCAGTTAGATGGTTATATAGCCTATTATACATTATTCTCTCTAGCAATTTTGAAAAACAAGATAATATAGATAAAGGTCTGTAATTTAAAATGTTTGATTTATCTCAAGATTTAAAAACTGGTGTTATACGGGCAATTTTTAGTTTGTCAGGAAAAAA